TCTGACTCACTAGACTTAGGGTTCAGCAAGTCCCTGTCTTCAAATACCCAGTACTGAGGAAGCCACAAGTTTATTCTACTAAACCTGCCTTTGTTAGGTGGGTGTTGGGGGTCAACACTCAGATCCCAACACTCATACACGGAGTATGCTACTGACTGAACCATATTCTTAGAACCTTAAAGGAATATTTATTTCTGTGTGTATCTCCTAGAGGGTTTCCAAAGAAATTTCACTGAGAAGAACCTACCCCAAGAATATGACTGGTAACCTGACATTGGTTGGTTTGGGGGTTGAATAAAAGGGGGTGGGATCAACTGAGTATCAACCCACATACCTGCCTGTTTCTAGTGCTTCCAATGTGACTAGGCACCTCACGCTCTTGCTCTTGCCACTATGACTTTCCCACAAGGAAGGTCTATATCCTTTTATGACCAAATTGAATCCCTTCTAGAAGAGACTCATTCTGAATGTGAGGGGCACCACTATAAGCACTGGTTTCTGAACTGAGTAAAGGGTAAGAGCAAACCGAGTTTCAACAACCATCTCTCTGCTTCCTAAGGACAGACACAATGTAGCCATCTGCCTCAAGCTGCCATGCTTTTCCAGCTATGGTGAACTTTATTGTTCCTTTTTGAAACCAAATACACATTTCCGTACATTAATTTGTCAGGGGTTTCATCACAGTAATGAGAAAGGGAACAACTATAACTATATTGATTGAATACTGGTGAGTTAATGAGTAAAAATAAACACTGTTTTAGTTCTTGTAGCATCAACACTTTTAACTACAGAAAGGCAACCCCCAGATTGTACCAGTAAAGTAGAGGGGATCAACCAGGGATCCACAGTGGTCAAGGGAGTATGTGAATGTGTGCAGCGGGTAGTGTTCTCTGTAAAGAATGACTTGCATGCAGACAAATGTTTGCATTTCAGTTTGAAGTAGTTCAGTTTGCTGAACCCGTGTATGAGTGTTGGGATCTGAGTGTTGACCCCCAACACCCACCTAACAAAGGCAGGTTTAGTAGAATAAACTTGTGGCTTCCTCAGTACTGGGTATTTGAAGACAGGGACTTGCTGAACCCTAAGTCCACCTCTTCAGTTAGGATGTGGGAGTCTTCCTGTCCCTTTTATTGTTATGCTGGTGCAATCTGGGAGGCAAGCAAGGACACTTACTTAGGTCCCTAAAGCTTTGATTCTTCACTATTTCCTGTAGCAGTCACTATTTTAATTCTAGTCCTTTAGAATCATCTCAGGGTGGCATACTAAACTCAGAAATATACCAGTTTATTAGTTGTTCCTTTCTAGAAAACCACACCATGTAATTTGACCAAATGTATTACTAGACTTCTCTTATGGAAGCTGAACTTTTCCCCATAACGTTTTGGGTTTGTTTGTTTGTTTGTTTTTGTTTTGTTTTTTGTTTTGTTGTGTTTTTGTTTTGTTTTGTTTTAAGAAAGAGTCAGTGGGCTCCTACTGGGAAGGTAGCATTGCTCAGCATGTGGTCATTCAAGGAGTTAAAAGAATGAGAAGCCAGCTTTTGAAGCAATAGGATTCTTCTTGACAAACGTCAGGTTGTTTGAGGTGATAGTTGTGTATTGGAATTCTTAAGAGGAGGCTAAGAGGCTGCCTGTATGAGTATAGAGGAAATACAATGGGGTTTTCAAGGAAAGAGAAACCCCTGCATCCTGGGAGGCTTAGTAGAGCAGAGTAATTGCCTGGGCATCTGTGGTCCCAGAGAAGAGAGATTCCCAGGTGGTGGAGGGGTCAGAAGTTTGTAAGGTCTCCTTCAGCGTCTAGGGCAGAGCAGACATAAAGGTGGTCAGCCTTATACACTGCCAAATGTGCCCTGGGTACTGAAAACAAGGCAGGCCAGTATGAGAACATGACTTACAACAAAGGCATGGGCGCTGGTTCCTCTACTCCCTGTCCCACCCTTTCCTGAGATTTCCTCTCTGAATTTCCTGTGATAGACATTTGTGTGTGTAGTGTGTGTAGTGCACTCTACTTTCTGATACACGGACCACCTGACTAGGAGCAGCCCTGCCGCCACTTTCCTTTCTGGGCAAACAAACTGGACAAATGAGAACGAAGAGGATACTTGCAGTGGGAGTTAAGCACACAACGAAAACTTTTTCTTGTATCCAATTTGTAGTTGAAAATGCATTAAAAATCTTCTGTAAAACGATTTCAAATGTTGCCACAGTTTCTTTTGAAGACTTTTGGTCATTTTTGTAAACATGGCACATTTTGGATCTGTCTAATCACACTCGCCTCCTCTTAAGAATTCCAATACACAATTATCATCTCAAACAACCTGACGTTTGTCAAGAACCCCACCCTCTAAACTAAAGGTGACTCTTTTTCCAATAAGCTGATTTCACTGGCATTCTTTGCCACAGTCATCACTGTTTCAACATCTTTTTCTTCTTCAAAGTTGGAGGACGTCTTCCTGGCCTCCATCGTCTCTAATCTGTTTTCCTCAGTCCCATTCTCACCCTGCCCCCTATTTGCGCCAGAATCACACGTGGGTCACAGAACTTCCAATAGGACATTCTGAAGGGTTCATCTGCAAGTAGGTGTGTGACAGAGACTCACCGGCTCAGCAGCATCCATGAGCACAGCGTTCCCCTTTTCCAGGCTCATAGCTCCTCTCACAGGCTTGCTTGACTTCAAGAGAAATTGGTTTCAGATTTCTCTCTCTCTCTCTCTCTCTCTCTCTCTCTCTCTCCCTCCTCCTCCTCTCCTCTCCTCTCCCATCTTCTGTCCTCACCTCCCATCCTCTTTCTCTGTCTCCCTCGCCTCCCTCCTCCTAGTTTTTCTCTCCCTTCTTGCTTGTTTGCCCAAATGCTCTCTCTAGTTCTATTGCTTCCTTGAATTTATTTGCTAGCCTAGTCTAAACGGGCTCCATTTACTCACTTTACCCCACCATTCAAGAACCGCAGTCCTGAATATCCAGGATCAGAAGCTTGTGTCTGAGTTCACATTCCCTGTATACTAGAGCCACGCGTTATTCCTCACCCCGCGCGCCTCCCCCCACCGTCTCCAGCGCCTCTGTGAGAACCTGTGGACATGATCACTGAATACACACCCACTCGGCAGACACCCACACATCCATGCGGGCAGCTCCATCCTCAGCAGCAGGTGCGTGGCTGTAGTGGTAGTTCTGGAGAGCTCGCCAGTCTCTTTCCAAGGCCCGGACTTGGCCTTCACTGAGGGGATCTCTTTCTTTGCAGCCTCATGTGTCCACTTTCTGTCTGCCTCACCAACTCTACCTCCCCTCCCTTTCTGCACTACTGTGATTCCCAGCTAGAGCGCAGGCAGAGAGGAGGTGCTGCAGGTTCCTAAGGGTCACCCAACCCCTGGGGCTGCACCTCCAAGGTCCAGCTTGCACCGCGGTGCTCAGAACAGGCGGGGGGAGCAGAGGCATTGGAGACAGTGCGCGATCCAGGGCTTCTGGACAGAGGTGGAAAGAGGTGCTGTACTATCAGGGGAGGAAAGACTGCCCAATGCTGCTAGCTCAGCCCCCCCCCCACCACCTCATGGCCCTGCCTCCTTTTTACTGTGATTTCACATTCATTTATTCCCTTTTTTACAAATCGGGGTTCTTCCTACTGTTTTTCCAGCAACTCCTTTCTCCTCTGAGTTTGACGAGCAGCGCGCGCTTTTGTGTGTATTGGGGTGGGGTGATCCGTGTTTGCTTTTGGGTGGTTTTGAGTATTTTTTTTTCCAAGAAAGATACATTTCAAGCGACTGCGTCTTTGAAGGAGCAGTTTGGTGGGATTCCCGGGAGGATCTTCTCCAGTGATTAATCGTGAAACTTTTTACCATTTTCCTTTTCCTTCTGAAAGTGACAGGGCCTCCGATCTTAGACCAGCGGCTTAAAGGTGCAGTCTTCACCCTCTAGAAGAGGGTACCAGAAAGCTCCAGTTGGAGGGACAGGAGACAGGCATTTCAAATCTTTAAAAAGTGAAAAACCAAACTCGAAGGGGCATTTTCGCTTGATGGCCCCTCCCTCCCCCTTCCACGCCTTTCGTCCTCCACTGAGATGCAGTGGGGAATTTGCAAAAGCTCCTCTGGACCCTTCTGCCAGAGCTGGCTGAGGGAAGGAGCCCAGACTGGTCCTCACCCCCTTCC